TTGCCCAATTTTTAGAAGCCTTTGGAATAAAATTACATTTGGTAGCCACAGGAGTTCCTCGTGGAAATGGTGTCGTAGAGCGACTTATGAGAACCTTGTTTAACCTGATGAGATCCACATTAACTGCGGAAAGAGAAAAAAAATGGACCAGCATTCTGCCACAAATAGAAGAAAATATTAATTATACTATCAATACATCCACTGGTATGACTCCGGCAGCTCTAATGTTGGGTACAAATTTAGAATTGCCAGCTACACAGCCGTTGTTAAGAAATGTTAGTCGGCCAAGTATCAATACGGAAACCGCAACTGAAGCTGTAAAACAGCGTTTAATCAAAAAAAGTCAAAACACTATAAATCGGCTGAATCAAAATCGGAAGCCAGCAAACGCTTTTAATGTTGGTGATCGTGTACTGGTTGAGGATACTCAAGCTCCTGGAAGGGGAAAATTGGGCCCGAGATATAAGGGGCCATTCACTGTCAAGGAGGTGTTGCCTAATGACCGTTATTGCCTAGGGAAAGGTGGAAAGCGGGAAACTGTTGCTGCCAGCGAGCAGATGCGAATTTGGCCGACAGCTGTGTTAAACAAATTGTAAGACCAGTTTTTTTTTTATTATTATTATGTTCCATGTTTGTTTATGTTACTTTATAAATTGAGAGTCTCATATAACGTTGTTAATTAAGAATGTATTGGATTTAGAATGATTTAATTATAAAATAATAAAATTTTCAAAAGAATTATTTAATTGTTATTTTAAATAAATACAGAAAAATTGCTACCACTTTTGCAGTAGGTGAAAAAGTATTAATTGAGGAGACACAGGCTCCCGGCAGGGGCAAATTAGGTGCCAGGTTTAAGGGTCCGTTTGTGGTACAAAAGGTCCTAAAGAATGATCGCTACTGTCTCGGTAGTGGGGGCAAGCGAACAACGGTAGCCTCACGGGACCAGCTAAGACGTTGGCCTTCAGTAAACACTGGAAAATTATGATCGAAACTACAAAAATTGTAAGTATTTTTGTTTTTATTTTATTTATTTATTATTATGTGGAGAGTATCCATTTGAAAGATTTTGAAATCTTTGTAAATAGCGAGAGTTGTTCACTATTGATTGAGGGTGCGCTGCCCGGATTGAGAGTATCAATCCAAAAGAAATATTTTGTGAGAGATTTACAAAATTTTGTCGTGTTGAAACTGAGAGTCTCAGATTCATTGTTTGATAAGGTGCGCTGCCTTGGTTGAGAGTATCAACCGAAAGAAAATAAATTGTTGGTGTTACCAAAATTAATATTTTATGTAACTGGGAGTACCAGTTGAATTTTTGGTGAACTGGAGTCCACTAAATGATTAGATGTGAAATACATTAGGGAGTCCCTAATGTGATGTTTCCTGGCCCGGGAGTCCCGGTAGCCATTTAAGAGTTTAAATCAATTATACATGGGAGTCCCATAAAATAAATTTCTGATTGGTTGAGAGAATCAACAGCGTGCAATGGAGAGTCTCCATGTAAAATAATTAGACAGTCCCTAAATGATGTTTGTTCCGGGAGTCCCGGTAGTCATTTGTGATTTAAGAGTCTTAAATCAGTAATTATGTAAGAGTCTTAAATCAGTAATTATGTGAGAGTCTCACATAATTAATTAGTTGGGAGACCCAATATGTTAAAATTGTAGTAAATAGTACTTGTGTAAGAGTACCTCATAAGTTGTATAGAAAGGAGTGTCATCTAAGTTTTTGCTTTGAAAGTTACTTTATGTAAAAGTGCTTATTATTAATAATAATTTAATTTTAGGATTGCAATTTTTACCTTCCAATTCTATAGTGTTCAAAGTAAGTAATGTAAGGAATTTGAAGTCCCACTAGGTTGGGTAAGGAGTCTCTGCCTCATGCTTAGTATATTGCTAAAGTTACAATGAGTAATTATGATAATAAGAAAATATAAGGTGGGTAAGTTATATCACCCTAGCATGAGGGCATGCTAATTGCAGAATGGCCGTGTTAGATAAATAAATTGGTTCACGTACGGCCATGGTACGTTATTTATTGGTAATGGATATAGCTGAGATGTTATGTTTAGTTAATATCCCTGATTCATCAAAAAGTCGAGTAGTACGGAATAAACTGTAAAAACGAGGGCAGTATAAAAGCTTGCGTTGAGATATATGGTTTATAGATAGAGTGCTTATCGATATATGGTTAATGTAATTAGCTCGGTGGGAGGTCGGGAGGTTGAGCTAAACAATTCTATTGTTGTTTGTAAAAATATTTTCATAGTGTTCTTACATATATATATATTAGGGTGCTTTTTTATTCATATATTATATCACGAGAACTATGAATTTAATCGGTTAAACTAGGCTCAGTAGTTTTTTGTTTGTTTTTTCTTGGAAAATGTTGAATGCAAAATAATTTAATAAAATCACGAGACCGCGTAGCGGTCGAGGGGTTTTATTTTTAATTATTTTGCATGAAACTATTTTCCTAAAAGAAAAATCAAATAAAAAACTTACTGAGCATAGTTTGACAGATTAAATTTATAGGTTGAGTGATATACGTCTAGATTATTTCTCGAATTAAAGGAAACTATGATATAATTAATATTTGTTTATTTTAAAACATACAAAACATTTTTTTAAACTTTTATAATATATACCTATATAATATATAACTATTTAGTATTATTACAATTTGTATAAAAGTTACAATTATAGTAATTGTTTGTTTGATTATAATGATAATTATCATTGCTGTTGACTGTAGAGGATGTTTTTAAGCTGCTACAAGAAGATGTATTATTTGGCATGTCTCTCATTTTATTTATTATTTCAAAATGATGTTGTGGATCCATTTGAAGGTAAGGCTAGAGTGATGATGCGCTACTGTGCCCCGTTATTTTTATAAGCTGTTGTTCTTCAGTACCACTTTTAGCAAGTTTACTGACAGCCGTCGATCGGTTGTAGTGGTTGGTTATTTTAGCTTTTTTAATACCAATTTTCTCGGAAGCATGTTTTGTCCATTTTGACACCTCATTTTTTCCCAATGGGCAGTTCTTATACCATCCTATGGATCTAGAATTATTCCAGTAAGGATTCGGCGTTAAGAACAATCTTTCATTTTTAATGTGGTCTCCTCTTCTACTAAGTACCTTCAAAATTTTAGCCAATTCCTTTAAATTAGTTTTGTTGTCCAGTTGGTAGCTTCTTTCTTCACAGAATTCTAAAAATTGCTGCCATATTGAATGGTGTGTCCTTTTTGTGTTTTTTGGAACTGTGTTTGTAATTTCCACATCGATTTTTTGTAAAGATAATTGTCCAAATCTATCCATATTTTTCAAATTACCATTAAATTTACGATATAAACACTTAAAATGACGCTGTTTACATTTTAGTTGCCATAGTGATAAATGCAACAATATTTTAAAAGGCACTCTATTTGACAATTAATAAAATCTGACGTATATGTCAAAATTTATGGACTATTTTTTTAACAAAATTCCATTAATTTAAAGATATGTGATAATTAATAATTGATATTTCGTAAACTAGATAACTTATTTTGTATGGTTTTTTAAAAAATGTTTGTTAAAACTTGTAAATAACACCATAAAATCGTAAACAAAAATCCAATATGGAGGCTAAAATTTAACCGCTGTTAAAAAGGTCTAGTGATTTAATCGCTTATTTAAACGAAATTTATTCGAAAATTCAAGGCTTTTGATTGGTTCATATTATATTGAGGGAAATAATCACTACTATTTTTATTTTTTCGCTCCCAACTCAAAATCTTGTTGAAAATGTTAAAAAAAAAATTCCACCAAAGCTTATAAAGTTTTCCCATTTAAAATATACATAAACTTTAATTATTTTTTTTTAAATATCTTTATCTCAGCCGCATTTTATGCTATTGGATTGTTCCAAAAAGGTATTTACTCGTAATCAAAAGTTCTACAAAAATGTTTTATGTGCCGTAGCTGTAATCTGCACATGTAGGATGGTACGGGTCACTAAATCTTATTTTAGTGAAAAATTCTTATATTTTTGAAGATATTTCAAAAGTGACTGGATTCTTTAAAAAAATGTAAAAGACAAACTTGTAGAAAATTTAATTTTCTTTAAAAAAGGTCTCAGATTGATATTTGTTGAGATATAAAGCGTTTACATTTGACATTTTATGAAATTTTCAGGACTTTCGTACCAAAATTTTTATAAATGATGATTTTTAATTCTTTATCAGCACAATTTCATATATATATATTATATATATATATATATATATATATATCAATTTGGCATCCTTAAATGCGGCAACATTGAAGGGTGGCAGTTTAATAATGACAAAGGTCAAAGATCAAAGGTCAACAGACCTGATCATGTAGTCAACACAAGCTCACTTCTAGGCAACATTATCCACTAAAGAACTAATTTTAAGGCACAATATCTAACATATAGTTTCTTAATTAACACAAACAAATACCTTTACATGTTACTTGGTTTCAAACGGAGTTTCTTCTTGTTGGACTTGTTTATTTCAAGCAACCGAGCCTTAATGGTTCAAAAGCGAAGTTTAGTCCCAAAGAGAACAAACAAACGCAAGATCTGACGATAAGTAATGAAGCGGATAATTGAATTATTTGATTAAACGAGTTTGGTAGACACAGCAGACGAATTTTTTTTGGAAATTCAAATCAAACATTTGTGTATACATTGCGTATGCTATACATTATTTAATGTAAAAAAAAATTGTTGCAACAACACTTAATATTTATAGACTGTGAGTGAAAAAAGTCAATTTAATGTGTGGTGTTTTCGAACCCTTAAGGCGATCCACCCTTAATTACCGAATAATTTTGACCCGGGCCTCGAATTTTTGCCAATTGCCGCCAGCAAAAAGAAATTTATTCGATTTTGTATTCGCCTTGTAAGAGCTTCTCAAGTTAACTTTACGATTGGTTTTCCTTATTTTTAGATTTAACGATTTAGTTAACATATTCTTTTTTGTTTCAGGGGTTTCGGAAAGCAGGGATATCAGTGTCAAGGTAAGCATCTGGTTTGTAGGTTTTACACGAAAAGACTAAATGAAGGAGGAGTAACTTTTTAAAGGATAAAACCAGATATCTAACGTACTCTCTAGAAATTCATTAAACGCAGACCTATCGCAACTCATCTTGTATTGTGTATCATTCAGAAGTGGAAACTGTATTGGAGGTAACGAATAGAAAATGGGGAATTCAGACAGACAATGGTATACCATAGGTATACGTAAAATCGATAATAACCTCTCTAAGCATTGTTCCCGTCTCTTGTGGAATGGCGTTTATACGCTGTCGTCATTATCTTTTCCTTTACGTTGCGTTCTTTTAATCAACGCTCGCTTTCACAGCCCCTTCATTATCACTAAAAGGTTGCATTTACCTAGCTTTTCCGATTCTGGTATGTCGCTTTTTGTGGGATACTGCGTTTGTTTCCAGATTTGTACGTTTTTGATTTAGGTGAAAGCCTATCTTGTTTTTGAACTTATCACCTTTGTAAAAGTTTTGCCAATAAATGTACAATAAAGGATGGCCAACAATAAATGATCAAAATGTGTCCAATAACACTAATTTACAGCCATTTTGTCCACCATCTCTCACTATGATTTTCTTGTGTAGTTTGGCTCACTAAACGCGAAAATCACACTTTTTTTCTGAGGTGTTTTGATCGATCTGACCAAACAAGCACTAAAATCAAAGGTAATTGAGCCCTCTACAACTTTCTTTTGTATAGTTTTGGTATCGGCTCAGTAGTTCGATACTGGCGATTTTATAAAGTTGAAAAAGTCCTCTTTTTTTTACCAAAATCGAGGTCGAAAATTTACATATCTTTCTGGGAAAGATTGAAATCGAAAAGATAATTCCAGTTTGATTTATTTTACGTATAGATTATACTTAAAGGAAAAAAATAAGATGCTGTTTATAAAAATCCATAGATAAATGGCGAAGTTATGAGTTTTTCAGTTGAAGACCAAAATTCAGTTTTTCAAGAATTTTTACGTTTTTTCTTCATTTTATTGAATTATATAAAATTTAATATTGAACATTGATTTTTATTTTAAACATTGGAATTAAATTATATATTGAATATTAAAACATAAATATTGAACATTAAAGAAATTAAAAGTTTTATTTTGTTGTAATAAGCATAGGTTTAAAAAAAATCTGGCTCCTTTTTTGTTGCTTTCGTATTCCGTTTCTCGTATGAGGGACCAAATGTAATCACTCATCATGGCTGCCCAGAAGCCGTGATACCGCCGCTCCATAGCCTTCATTTACTGGTGAAAACGTTCTCCGTGCTCATCACTTACGTCGCTCTTCTTCTTTTACTCATTTTACACTTTTTATTAACTAAATAAAACCATGATAAAAATATCTTGTTGAAATATCAAAAAATATCAGTAAAATGTCACTATGCCAACACGAGAAACAAAAGAATTCACGTTTGCGGAATCATGTCAAATTTAAATTTTGAATAATGTTTTCGGTGAAAAAAGTACGTAAAAAACTCAAAAAATTCCAATCATGCACTTTATTTAGGTTTCCATTAAAGACTAAACATTAGGGTGATTTTTTTTTTCACGACAATTTTTATTTTTTCGCTCCCAACTCAAAATCTTGTTGAAAATGTTCAAAAAAAAATTCCCTGAAAATTTGAGCCCTTAATATTAACTCAAAGTACTCGACCAAAGCGTATAAAGATTTCCCATTTAAAATACACGTAAACTTTGATTATTTTTTTTTAAATATCTATATCTCAGCCGCATTTTATGCTATTGGATTGTTTCAAAAAAGTATTTACTCGTAATCAAAAGTTCTACAAAAATGCTTTATGTGCCATAGCTGTAATCTGCACATGTAGGATGGTACGGGTCACTAAATCTTATTTTAGTGAAAAATTATCATATTTTTGAAGATATTTCAAAAGTGACTGGATTCTTTGAAAAAATGTAAAGAACAAACTTGTAGAAAATTTAATTTTTTTTAAAAAAGGTCCTATCAGTTGAATCGCTAAGATTGATATTTCTTGAGATATAAAGCTTTTACATTGACAATTTATGAAATTTTTAGGATTTTCGTATCAAACTTTGTATAAATGATGATTTTCAATTGTTTATCAGTAAAATTTCATGTAATTACGTTTTTTCTACAGTCGGGTGATTAGAGAAAAATAAATAACTCAAACAATCTAGCATAATTATTAATAACATAACTTTAAAGAAAAAAGATATATCTAACCTAAAAATTGATATAACGAGGTGTATTACATACAACATGTTATTTTATTAATAATAATTATTATGCTTGATTGTTTTAGTTATTTATTTTTCTCTAATCATCCGACTGTAGAAAAAACGTAATTACATGAAATTTTACTGATAAACAATTGAAAATCATCATTTATACAAAGTTTGATACGAAAATCCTAAAAATTTCATAAATTGTCAATGTAAACGCTTTATATCTCAAGAAATATCAATCTTAGCGATTCAACTGATAGGACCTTTTTTAAAAAAAATTAAATTTTCTACAAGTTTGTTCTTTACATTTTTTCAAAGAATCCAGTCACTTTTGAAATATCTTCAAAAATATGATAATTTTTCACTAAAATAAGATTTAGTGACCCGTACCATCCTACATGTGCAGATTACAGCTATGGCACATAAAGCATTTTTGTAGAACTTTTGCTTACGAGTAAATCCTTTTTTGAAACAATCCAATAGCATAAAATGCGGCTGAGATATAGATATTAAAAAAAAATAATCAAAGTTTACGTGTATTTTAAATGGGAAATCTTTATACGCTTTGGTCGAGTACTTTGAGTTAATATTAAGGGCTCAAATTTTCAGGGAATTTTTTTTTGAACATTTTCAACAAGATTTTGAGTTGGGAGCGAAAAAAAAAAAATTGTCGTGAAAAAAAAATCACCCTACTAAACATATTACAAAATAAAAGAAAAAATAAAATAAAAATCGTCAAAAAGCTGAATTTTGGTCTTCCACAAAAAAAGAACAATTGAAAATACATATTTCAAAAACGCTTCCATAAAAAAAAATGAGTGTGATTTTCGTGTTTAGAGGGTCAAAATACATCGGAAAATTATAATGGGATATTGTGGGCCGAATTTTTTTTCGATATTGTAAACTAGTGTAATATTCAAAAGCAGTTTGGATTAAGTTAGGTAGGTTACCGTTGGGTTAATTTTTGGAATGTTTGGGCATGGAAAAACAGTGACAAATTTTTAATGTTTTTTGGGTAAATATTAGGCTTTTGAAAAATTAACAAGAATAAATATATGAATATATTTGATGAAATGCAGATCCATATTCTTAATAATTTGACAAATGATACTTTTTATTGATTTTTATCGAAAAATATTTACTTACCTAAAAAATATGGTATAAGTTTATTATAAATTTATTTATATTATGTATTAATAATATATTTACTGTTTATATAGTCATATATAGTATATATTTATTCTCAAGTTAATAATTTTGTATTTAGGAAAAAAAGCATAATTTTAAACAGTCTGAAGTTTGAGGTTTGATATCTGTGAAACGGCTTGACTTACGCAAAATGTCAATCAGACCTTTTTTGTAGAGCATTAAATTTCCTATAAGGGGTAATTTTGTCCTACTTATGAAGTAGCTTGTTATCACGTTACAAAATGTCAAAATTTAACAAAAAAATTCTCATGGTATTTAAATGGGAAATAGATAATTACAAAACGCCACCTTTAAATATTAATATTAAGAGCTCATATTTTCACAGGGATTTTTCAATGTTCTTTGAAAAAAAATAGTCGTTTTTTTTTGAGACTCTAATCTTTACTTCACCTTCCTGCTTATCTATTTTAGAACTTTTTTCGTTATATTTCCCCTGCTTCTTTTTATTTGCTGTATAAAACTATAGTTTTAAGGTTACCATTAATAAAGGTACTTGAAAAATTAACTTACTACTCTAATATTTCTTTATTTTATCATATATTATAGCACGAGAACTATGAATTTAATCGGGTAAACTAGGCTCAGTAGTTTTTTGTTTGGTTTTTGTTGGAAAATGTTGAATGCAAAATAATTGAGCATAGTTTGACAGATTAAATTTATAGGTTGAGTGATATACGTCTAGATTATTTCTCGAATTAAAGGAAACTATTTGACAATTCATAAAATCTGACGTATGTGTCAAAATTTATAAATATTTTTTTAAAGAAAATTTCATTAATTTAAGGTATGTAATAAGTAATAATTGATATTTCGTAAACTGGATAACTTATTTTTTATTGTTTTTTAAAAAATGTTTGTTAAAACTTGTAAATAACACCATAAAATCGTAAACAAAATTCCAATATGGAGGCTAAAATTTAATCGCTGTTAAATAGTTGTAGTGATTTAATCGCTTATTTAAACGAAATTTATTCGAAAATTCAAGGCTTTTGATTGGTTCATATTATAATGAGGGAAATAATCATTAGTAGATTAAAAATTTGCTATTTTAGTTGAGAAAAAAATATCTATTTTTCTTTCTTAAAAATTAAGTGCACACGTCTAGATGTAGGTATTCATATTTCTAAAGCGTACAGTTGCCATTCAAAATCCTCGTTTAATAGCAGTGCAAGACTGCATAATAACAAAGCTGCAGCTTTGGAACATGTTCCTACTGATCTTTTTCCCTTCACATGAAAATGTACGTGTACATTTTCTTTATATCAAATAGCTTCCAACATATATATATTTCAGAGAATCCGAGTTGCTGCCAGTAACAATTTACCTACTATTGAACCTCTTAAAATTAAAATTAAAAGTGTTAGTGACGCCAATAAAAAAGTTCACTTAAAAATGTTAAATTCGCGGTTTTTGAAGTTTTAATTTTGTGGAAACAAATTCAAAGAGAGCTAAAATAAAACATCGACCAAAAGTTAAAACCCAAAGGGATGCAGGTCATGTGTAAATTCATTTAGACATTCAAGTCCCAGAAGTAGCAAACCTAATATCATTTATCCATTGCAGCACGAGACAGACAATGCAACTTTTAACTTAATTTTCAATCCGTTGCAAAATCGATACAGAACGGATTTTCACGCCACAAGAATTTAAGAAAATTGTTTCCTACGATGTACATTTCGAAATAATACAAGCTATTGAGGATGTGGCCTTATAAAATTTCAAATGTCAGATCATGTCAAATTAAAGTACTTTTGAGCTTTTCCTACATAAATACACAACTTTAATTTGTTTTTTTGCGTAGAACCCGGTCTCTACTATTAATTGATTTAGCGATACAATGAAATTTAATTTAAACTGGTTCAATAATAATCATTCGAGTGTCAACGTTCGATCCTTTTCTAGTTTTGCTTTATAAATAGCTCAGGTGGTCGTGGATTTGTAATTTTTTATATTTATTTTGTTTTTCAGTTTGCAGTTTCGTGGTACACAAGAGGTGTCACGAATATGTCACCTTCACATGTCCTGGCGTTGATAAAGGGGTCGACACAGATGTAAGTATACAAATTAAATTTTTGTACTCCCATAGTTATTTTATTGGTACTCGTATTTCAAAGAACATTTTTTGGTAATTTACTTCAAACAAAAGTTTTTTTTTACAAATCTAGAAAATCGATTTGTAACATTTGCTTTTAACCATAGAAAATAATTTCGCTAATATAAGTCATGGTTTACTAGATGTGTTTTTTGGCCAATAAAATCATCTAAAATGTAAATCGGTTGATATAATATCAGTCGATAGCAGAGCTGTGCGGTACTCGAATACTTGTACTCAAATTTTTTACTTTAAGTACTTTTTATGTAATTACAGAGTACATTAAAAAAAAGTACTTGTAGTTGTACTTATTTCATTTAAATATGTAAAAATGGACACGAGTACATTGGTTGTACTCGAGTACATTTTTTGTACTCGAGTACATTTGATGTACTCGAGTGCTTTTTGTACTCGGCATCTTTTTGTTAAGTTAACATAACCACTACTGTAGTGGCACTCATTCAAATTTACCGCCATAATTATAATTCTTTAGCGGTTTGGCAATATTCGGAATAAATCCTCGCTCAAGAAGAATTAAAAAAGAGTAACTATTTTTTCCTCTTCCCCAATAAGGATAATTTAAATTTTAGTGCTCCAATTTATTATTTACTATAGTTTATCGTTACATTTTATTATTTAAAAAAATTAAGTATTACAGATCTTATAAGATTTTAATTTTTTTATTTTGGTAAAAGAAATAAAAATTGAAAATGGTATAAAATCTGTAATATTTGTATTTTTAAAAATTTAAATTTGTCAATAAACTGCAGTGTACCACTTAAACTTTTTTCGAAAACTTTAATTTAAAATTAGTTTTCGAAGAACTTGTTTATTTATATTTATAAGCATACGAGGTGTGTTCAGAAAATATCGGGAATTTTCGTTTTTTGAAACAAATATTTATATATTCGTCTACATTAATGTTGTCGCCTTCAAAATAGTCCCCATTGGATATTATGCACATGTGCCAGCTCTTCTTTCAATACTCGAAACACTTCTAAAACTCGATCTTTGGGATAGCCTTTAGTTCTTTCAGCGATGCGCTTTTAATGTCATCTATGCTTGCAAAACGACGGCCCTTTAAGGTTCTCTTTATTTTTGGGAATAAGAAAAAGTCAGACAGAGGCATGTCTGGCGAATATGGAGGCTGGGGCATCATTACAGTATTGTTTTTGGCCAAAAATTTTGTTCAAAATTTGACAATTTTAGAACAAATTTTGCTGCCACGCGTTTCATACCCAAAACATTCGAAAAACTTTCATGGGATGAGCCAATCGATATACCAACATCATCAGCGACTTCTCTGATGGTTATAACCATATCTTCCACTTTTTCCATTTTTTATCGGTTGTTAATGTGCTGGTGCGTTCGGGGCGTTTGTCATCTTCAACGTCTTCACGGCCATCTTGGAAACTCTTATACCACTTGTAAACTCTTGTTTTACTTATAGCAGACTCACTATAGGCCTTTGTTAACATTTCACAGAAATTATTTCATTATTTAAGCAAAATTGGATACAAATTCTTTGATCGATTTCTTTTAACGAACGAAAAATCGCCGAGTTCATAAAACACGTCTAACCTTAGCAGCTGCCACAGACAAAGTAAACAATGAATAAAGTTTTTATCATACTTCGGGGGCATGTATACCAACATAATAAAGAAAATTTTATGACAACCGAACCCTCCGAACCCGCGAAATTTAACAATTCCCGTTATTTTCTAAACAGACCTCGTATACTATTAAACATAAAAGAAAATTAAATGAAGGGGTAAAATCAGGCAGGCAAAGTGTATAAAACTATTTTTTTATATTTTTGGTTCAAATTGTTTTTATCATTTGTAATATTTATTTGAGTGACGTCATAGTAAATCCAATATGGCTGCCGCTTCAAGATGGCGTATAACCTATTTCTTTACAACCTCCTTGATATGGGTCTTTACAACCTCCTTGACATGTCAAGCAGAATAAGTTACGTCATTTTAATTTCAATATGGTGCATGTTGATAACAACTAACCAAGTACATTTTAGGACTAAAAAGTTTTTTACTTATATAATTAGTGTTAAGAAATTGGTATTTTTAAAATTGTATAAAATATTGCCAATTTCGTATTGTGTAATTATTGTAGCCTCCACGTATTCTTAGTGTGAAAACTTAAGATTCTCTCGTTTGTTTGGTTGAAAATTTGTTTTGTAAAGTTTAAGAGCAACTTGTCGACGAAAATTGCTGTTTCTCCGAATTAAACTGTTGTAGGTACTTTCGTGTAGATATCGTATTTGCCAACTTCGGGCAATATACAATAGCCTTGTGGAAGTTGGAGGATATAAAAAGTTGCTTTAACGATAATGAAAACAAAAACTTTTATACACAACCAGGACAACGCTTTTTTCTGTCGAATTAACCTAACTTCGGGCATCAAAAAGTTTTAAAAAAGAGGCAAAGTTCTCCAAAAAAATCTTTTAAGTTTATGACGAAGAAACTTAAAATGTTAATACTTTTTTCTTAAAAAAAAAACCCTTCTACTATATTAGTAATGTTAAGTTAAAATTGAGTAATTTATTTTGGGCTTATTGTCCAAACTAAATTGTAATGCTATCCCGGGGCATTCGCCATTTTAATTACCAGCAAAAATGTTCCATTTTATTAAAACATTAAACATGAACAGGAAAACAATGCGTTAGCAGCAAAACACAACCCTTATTTGTTTAGGCACAAAAAACAAATTTCATTTATATTTCGTTCGTTCCCGCTTCGTACAAAATATGTTTTTCATTTTTTATGTTTAATATAATAACACAAAAATTATTATTGTATCGTGAGTTCATATTTTAGTAATATATACAGTTTTCAATATTCTTTTACGGCATTTTTAAAAGCATATAAAAGAAAAGTTTTATATGGATTTGGATTTTCAGCAAATGTTTGGATAAAAATTTTATATACAATTTACTATAAAATAGGTTTCATATCACCAGATATTTTTCTTGTTTGTTGTTGTTTTACATTTATTGATATTTGTATTCAATTTCCAGTTTTTTAAATTTGAGCGTATGGTTAAATCTCATATAGAGTGACCGGCAATTTTATTTTACCTAAACGGCCATTTCAAGCGGACGGACGGGACAAATCACAAACCTGTTTTTATGAAAAAAATTGTATGGAATTTATTATATATTATTTTTGCATCAACATTGTTTAATATATTCTTCTTTTATTAGGCTATACATTAAATAAAAAATATAATAAGAAATATTTTATAAAAGTAAAGAAAATTTCTATATTTAAATTATCTCTACTTTTATAAAATATTTCTTGCGTTTTTTTATTTAATGTATAATCTAATAAAAGAAGAATATTTTTGACAATTTTGATGCCAAAATATTGTATAATAAATATTCTATTCTATTCAATTTTTTTTTATATAAACAGTTTTGTAATTCGTGCGTTTCGCGCGCTTGAAATGGTCATAAAGTTACGTACATCTTAAGTTCAAACTATTATACTACAATTTTGCTATGTTGTAAAAATATACCAAAACAAAATTACTTTTAAAAAATATAAATTCCTGGAGACATAAACAACATTTTACCTAAAAATGTCTCTTGCAATAAGACTTTCTGTCCCGGGTAAATATTTTATTAAATTTTTCTTTTCAGGATACGCGAACAAAACATAATTTTAAGGTGCATACATATTCATCTCCTACATTTTGTGACCATTGCGGTTCACTATTGTACGGAGTGCTCCATCAGGGAATGAAATGTTCAGGTGCGTAGTTTAAATTTTATATTTTAAGATAAAACCTAAAATATGTTTACTGGGTGTTTTCCTCATCGATGGTAGGGCAAATTCGCATTGTGGTTCAAAATTTAAATCATAGACAATATGTTAATTTTTTTTTAATTTATTTAAAATGTTTTTTATTTTTCCTGTAACAAGAATATACCCAAGTAGCACAACTGGTTAGATTAACCTTAAATTAACGTTATTTTATAATAAGTGGGGAATTCAATTATGGTAAAATTATCGTTATGTTAGTTAAATTTAACTTCTTGGTTAAAAACTATTATTTTACCCTTTTTAGCAACTTTTTAACCCTTATATCAACTTAAACTATAATTAACCGGTTTAAGTTTATTTTAACTTAATTTACAAAATATGGTTATTGAGGTGACAAAAAAAAAGAATTTTTTTTTCTCGTCTCTTGTAAAAGTATGTTAGTTAATCATGCTGTAAGAGCCCTGTCAAAATATCAGCTCGATTAAAATTTTTTTAAATCATCAAAAATTGAATTTTTGTTTTATTTTAATTTTTTTTCTCGTCTCAATATTATTTTTTAGGTTGACAATAATAAAAATACTGTAAATTTCAAATCAATATTTTGATTTCTAAAGGTCGCTAAAAGTTCGTTGATATTTATATTCAGAGGTCGCTCGAAAACATTCAAAATACTTTACTTTGAAAGTTTAAAAAATCTTGAGCGACCTTTAGAAATCAAAATATCGATTTGAAATTTTCAGAATCATTACTATTTTCAAATTAAAAAATAATATCGGAACGAGAAAAAAAATTAAAATAAAAAAAATTCAATTTTTGACGATTTTGGAAATTTTTTAAAATATTGAGCGACCCCTAAAAAATTTTTAATGGTACTGATCTTTTGACAGGGCTATTAAAACATGACAAACCAACATATTTTCACAAAAGACGAGAAAAAAAATATTCTTTTTTTTTGAGCCACCCTAATGGTTATGTATACATATATAGTAGGGTGAGCCAAAAAAACTAACCTATTGGATTTATGGGTTAAAATGAACCTACATACCGAGCAAAAAATTTCCCTGCAAGGCAAAATTTTTTGCTCAATTTTAAAAGGTGTCGGTGAGCATTCTAAGTTTCCATTGAAATAACACGTAAAAAAATCTTTTTTCATTAAAAAGACTATAACTTTTGAACCGTTTTAGATAAAATTTTTTACGTCGCGGATTCTTGTAGAGCATAAAATTTCCCAAAGAATCTATACCAGGATTATTTTTTTTAATTCAAAAATTCGTATGTTTGAAAGCTTTGAAAAGTGTAAAAATCACTAATACTGCAGTTTTAGTGATTTTTTACACTTTTCAAAGCTTTCAAACATACGAATTTTTGAATTAAAAAAAATAATCCTGATATAGATTCTTTGGGAAATTTTATGCTCTACAAGAATCCGCGACGTAAAAATTTTTATCTAAAACGGTGCAAAAGTTATAGTCTTTTTAATGAAAAAAGATTTTTTTACGTGTTATTTCAATGGAAAACTTAGAATGCTCACCGACACCTTTTAAAATTAAGCAAAAAATTTTGCCTTGCAGGGAAATTTTTTGCTCGGTATGTAGGTTCATTTTAACCCATAAATCCGATAGGTTAGTTTTTTTGGCTCACCCTATATATATGTATATATATATACATATCTTTAGATATGACTTACAGATCCTTAAAATAAAATGTCGCTCCTCAATATTAATTAATAATATTATCAATTAAGAGAAAATTCAATGGATCTTTTTTTTCTGATAAAGTAGGACATAATACTTTTAAATGCACTAAATAAAAAATCTGGAAATAAAAAAAAATAACTTTTTTGAATATTTTTTCTTTATTTCGTTTGAAATTGATTTAAAATACTTTTAAACATAAAATAATATTATGTTTTATTATTGGTTTGTTTAAATTTCCTTATTTTTGGAATACAAAAATTATTATTAAAATTTCTCTTTTGTTAAAATGGACAGCAAACAATATAGCGATTTTAGGATGCCTTTACTTACTTATTGGTTATATAACCAATATAAATTAACCTGCAAGTTTTAAATAACCATTTGGTTATTTTATTGTGTTTAATTTAACTACTTTATTTACCTATCAGTAATTTATAACTCTTTGGTTTCAGTTTAAATTCGGTCAATGTAACACATTATAGTTAATAATTACCAAAATTAGTTAAATTAAACTAACTTGTTATTTTTAAAATAACAATTCCGCTGATCTTACGTTCTGATTTTAGTTAAATAATTGTTAATTTACCAAAAAATAATATCAAAAGTTTAACTAAACTAAAATCTGTCAAAAAATAACTAGTCTTAACCATTTAAAGGTTAAAATTAGAAGTTAATATAACGTTATGTAAATTCTAAAATAACATATTTTTTAACTTATGAGTAATATTACTAAAAAGAGTAAAAATTAATTATAAATAAACCAAATAATTAACTAGTTGGTAATATTACCAATAGGTTTCTTTTATTAAGTAGTTAAATTTGAATTTACCTTAAGGTTATAGAAACCGGTTGGAAAATTTAAAGGGTTATTTTTTAGTTACCTTAAGTTAAATGTTATTGGTTGAATTCAACTAATTGGTTAAAAAAAACGTTATTTTACTTATATTTTGGTTAATTTACTTAGAATGCTAGTTATTTAATCAGTTAAGCTAGTTGGGTGGATTCTGATTTATTTTATAAAACACAAAGTAAATTATTTCGTAACGTCATTTATTACAAAAAGCTTCATTGAACGTATTATGAAACGTAATAACTGAGTTACTATTTTCTCGTTTTAAAAAATGCGAAATAAAACTAATCGTCGAGCACTAAAATACACAAGAGACTGAAAGCTAAAATAGAAAAAAGAGACGCAAGTCATCCCAGATTACTTTTGAACTGTGCGAAATTGTAGACGGATGTGGTAATACTTCGGCGAATTGTTTACTAAGATCTCCAAAACTTTCCAGACAATATTCCATTTAGGCGGCAAAACCGGGCTTACAGAACAGCTTTTCGACAAACTACTATATACGAGTATAAACTATAAGCTGAAAGTTTAATAGCTTTTTGAGCTAAATTTATGTCTCAATTTATGTTTTTTTTTATGAAATAAACCCTACCTGGATTTTTTAAATATTTTTCCCATACACCCAGTATATAAGCATAACAGTTTTCTTCTTTATATTATATAGGACCCATTTTTTAAATTTTAAATTTTTTTCAGTATGTGATATGAACGTTCACAAACGTTGCGAGGAGAGCGTCCCGAACTTATGTGGTTGTGATCATACAGAACGTAGAGGCAGAATACTTTTAAAAATTACGTGTGCAGGCAATAAACTAACAGTTGAAGGTAATTTTTCACCGACCTAATGAAAACTTCCACACGTGGAAATTCCCACCAGCATATGAGTTTGTTTCAAGTGCTGTCTTATTTTTTTTGTTTTGCTACCTACATTAAACAAGTTCTTTTACAGCAATAACAACTGGTCCTAATTAATTTTTAGTGAAAGAAGGTCGAAATCTAATTCCAATGGACCCGAATGGATTCAGCGATCCGTACGTTAAGCTCAAACTAATACCGGATTTGGATAACATAAAGAGAAAAACGAAAACAATCAAAGCTTGCTTAAACCCCGTCTGGAATGAAACTTTAGTTTTGTAAGTGTACAAAAAAAAAACAAAAAATACAACCAAACTTAAAAGGAATCGCCCAGTAATTACGAGAAAAATTATTTCACTTACAATAAATTTTGACAACGATGATGGGTATGGTAACTGAATAACTGACATTTTTGCAGATTGGTTATTTTTCCTACAATTAATAATATCCATTTGTAATAAAAACATTATAAACAAATATGTTTTTAAAAAAATAATTATTTAAAGTTTTTAAATCAAATTACCCGCACATTTCCTATAATGCAATGAACATCTTAAAGACGTCTTGACGACGTTTAGTAACGACTTAATAATGCCGTTAAAAGGACATCTTAAAGACATCTTTAAGATGTCTCTGTGCTATCTAGGTAGTTCTACAACCCGGCTCTAAAAAAGTGCTATCCATGATTTATGCAGGATAATGCATCTCCATTTACCAGCAGAGTTGCCAAAAATTGTTTGGAGATGGAAGGTGTGACTGTTTTAGAGAACTTGTGGAATTAGGTGAGAAGAATTATTATGTTTCTCGTAATTACTTGGTGATTCCATATAAATTGGTTATCAACCACTTTACCTGCTTCATTTGAGCATTCAAGCATTCTTCTTTCCTATATTATTAATTCAATGATCAGCAGCCTCTTTGCCTAGGTATCCATTAATGAAATCCCTTCTAATAAAAAAGTTATTTGCTATACTTTTGTGAAGGCAAAAGTGATCTACTTACTTAGGTGCAAGTTTATTACCGGGATCTTCTCGATATTATACTCAAGCACGCGATTTAATGTTTTTGGCTCAATTGGTTTTAATTCAGTTTATAATATTTTCATAAAATACTCTAATACTCTAATAATAGTTTTTGTTTGATAATTCTTTTCAAACAAAAACTATTATTTTTTATAATGTATCCAATCCCCCACTTAATTTTTCCCAAACACCAAGTATCTTAAATCCGGTGATTTGAGATAAAAGAAAAAGGTTGCGTTCATCCTAACATCTATGATCATTTTAAGCGACCTAAAGCCAGAAGACAAGGACAGACGGCTGCTCATCGAGATATGGGATTGGGACAGGACTTCCAGGAACGATTTCATGGGATCGCTTTCCTTCGGGATATCGGAAATCTTGAAGGCGCCAGCCGATGGCTGGTTCAAACTTTTGACGCAGGAGGAAGGTGAATTTTACAACGTGCCAGTGCCAGAAGAGGGCGTAGATTTGGCAAACTATAAAGCAACAGCAATAAGAGTAAGGAAAATGTGCTTTCTTTGTACAAAACCAGAAGTTATCAGTAGTTTTTTTATTCCAGAAAACCTCAATACCAAAAAAGACACCTGTTCTCGTGGACAAAGATGTTCCACACAATATGGGCAAAAAGGATATTATCAGAGCTAGTGATTTCAATTTTCTTATGGTGCTTGGAAAAGGTTCTTTCGGAAAGGTAAGATACACCCAGATTAAAACTTGGCCGTTATCTGGGTAAGTTTGGCCAAAAAAACTAAACATAGAACTGCTAACTGAAATCGATACGATTGCATGTCTGGTTGGCGTTATTACTTAAGATTCAGGAAAGGAAGTCCATTTAGATATAAGTAGCAAAGTATTCATTCATTCATGATCGAACAACTTTTAATGAAGCGTCAACTTTTTTGCACCCACCATTTGTTGTTTAAGAACCTGTTTTGTATCTTTAAAGGTGATGTTAGCTGAAAGAAAAGGTACGGATGAATTGTACGCAATAAAGATCCTTAAAAAGGATATCATTATACAGGATGATGATGTTGAGTGCACCATGGTGGAGAAGAGGGTTTTGGCTTTATCCACTAAGCCACCGTTTCTGGTTCAGCTTCATTCCTGTTTTCAAACTATGGTAAGTATGCAAATTTCGAAACGAAGATCACCATGAGGATTATCACCAAATTGTAGGATCGACTTTATTTTGTTATGGAATATGTTAACGGAGGCGATTTAATGTTCCAAATTCAACAATGTGGAAAATTCAAAGAACCCGTTGCAGTGTAAGAAAACCACTTTGTTCCACACGAAGAGTATTAATATCGACGTTAATTTTAGATTCTATTCGGCAGAAATAGCTATTGGGCTCTTCTATCTGCACACTCGCGGTATAGTGTACAGGGATTTAAAGTTGGACAACGTTTTGCTTGATCAAGATGGCCACATTAAAATCGCGGATTTTGGCATGTGCAAGGAGGGCATCACTGGAGATAAAACGACTAAAACGTTCTGTGGCACTCCCGACTACATAGCCCCAGAAGTAAGTTTTTATAACTTCGTAATTTTTTCATTCAAAATCCTTTTTTAAGATTATTTTGTATCAACCCTATGGTAAATCCGTTGATTGGTGGGCTTACGGGGTGCTCTTGTACGAGATGCTCATTGGTCAGCCTCCGTTCGATGGTGAGGATGAAGAAGAGCTATTTGCAGCAATTACAGATCACAATGTCAGTTATCCCAAAGGATTGTCCAAGGAGGCTAAAGACGTCTGCAAAGGGGTGAGTGCCCTATGAAATCCATAGTTTCTGCAGCATACTCCACCCAGATAGCACACAACGTCTTGAAGATGTCTTCTGTATGTCTGTATTATGGCTGAACGTCTAAAGATCTAAAAAAAGACGTCTGAATGACGTCTTTTGATAGACGTCTTGAAGATATTTTTATTTAATGTTCTAAAAGACATCTTATAAATGCCTGATGCCGCCGGTTATTTTTTTTTAATTTTTTGATAAAATAATGGATTTTGGCAAGTCAAAATCAAAATTATATCCCATAAACAGCCACTTCATAGTAAGATATAATTAGGTACCATCTTATTTTGGTGTAATAGAAACAGCATTAATGTAGGATTTTGAGTTTTGACAACGATGATGGTAAGGTAACTGAATAAATATATATCTGACATTTTTGTAGATTGGTTATTTTTCCTACAATTAATAATATAAATTTTTAATAAAAGCATTATAAACAAAGATTTTAAACATTCAATTTTATAGTTTCTTTTAGAAATTGGTTATATTCATAAGAAAAAATTGAACCTACACCTCGCCAAAGTTTTTTGTTTTGATTTTGATTTGAAGTTGGTGGAACGCAATCAAAACAAAAATGTTTTTTAAAATTAAGTATTAGGTAAGACAAAATAACCTTAAAATAACCCAGCGAAAGTTTTTAAATCAAATTACCCGTACACATCCTATAATGCAATGAAATCATCAAATCGCCACCATCTTATAAGTCTCGCCATATGATCCTTATGGTGTTCTTTTCTATTTCACCAAGCGCTGATATGTCTGCTTCTTTTCAATTCTTAAATAACTCGTAACTAAATGCAGATTGCAGACATCCATTTTTGCTTCTTGTATGTTGAATTTGGTTGAATGCTATTACTAATCGTGGCGGTTTTTCTTTTTTATGTTCCCGTTCGACGTTCAACAACTCAAGTGACAAGTCAAAGCAGTGTGCAGTGTTGGTTTTCGATTTTTTTGTGAATTTGGTTTCGTTTTTGTGGTGTTTTCCGAATAAATAATTAATAGCCCAAGGGATACCCTGGTCTCTGACCCTGATACCCACCTATAATAAACTCAAAAAGAGCTTCAGACAAAAGAGTTCTACTTGATAAGAAGTTTTGACTTTGATTTGAGTTAATAGGCAGAAATAAATATACCTTATACTTAATACCTTTAAAACGTTTTGACGATATAGCAATGCATAACCAAGACGTTTTCAATAGGTAGTCTTTAACATCTTAAAGACGTCTTAACGACGTTTAGCAACGACTTAATAATGCCGTTAAAAGGACATCTTAAAGACGGTGTGTTTTGTAACATTAAATATCTTAGAGATGTCATACACGTCCAAGTCCGACATCTTTAAGATATCTGAAAGATGTCTCCGTGCTATCTGGGAATGATTTCTTCGTTTTTAGCTTCTCACAAAGAATCCAAACAAACGGCTGGGGTGTAGTGCTAATGGTGAAGAAGACGTTCGTGGACATGCTTTCTTCAGGCGGATAGATTGGGAGAAAATCGAAAACAGAGAGGTTCAGCCTCCTTTTAAACCAAAAATTGTAAGTACACATATCTCCCATGCTGACTTAAGTTCATCTTAAAATCTTTCTTCCAGAAACATCGTAAAGATGTGAGCAACTTCGACAAACAATTCACCTCGGAAAAGACCGATCTAACACCTACAGACAAACTGTTTATGATGAACTTAGATCAAACGGAATTTATGGGTTTCTCGTTTCTCAACCCGGAATTCGTGCAGCACGTTTAAGAAAAACCTTGCCGATAAAACTTTTCTACTTAAAACAAACATCATGATTAATATGTAATTCAGTCTAAAACAACGCGCCCATGGTGCGACTTAATTAACTAACAAAGAGATCGGGAATTTCAGGGGTGACCGCAGTTTTTCGACCAAAAATATTTAAGGCATATCACTTGCGGTTTCCTCTGATATTCTCACTGTAAAAATAAATCTAATGACGAAAACGATAATGAATACAAAATAATATCAAACATATCTTAAAACTCCCAATTTGTCGCCCTTATTACTTTTCCTCTAAACAGCTATCAACTAATTAAAATGTGTTATATTTTAGATTAGTTAGTTAATTGTTCGCTATAGCGTATACGCCAAACATTCCACGTCGACAGAATCTCTATTAATGGTTAAAGCATATAATCATTAGTTTGTAGCAATAAAAACATTCCATAGGTTTTAGAGTTTCATGCCTAGGCTGAATTGCATGTTGATTGACAATTAGAGTTTTTTGAAGTCTCTTTGCATGTTTTTAGATAAATTATAAAAGCCATGTTTTGTGCAGGTTTTATAGAAAATTTTGGCATGTACAATATTTTTGATTACCTATACATACTCTAAAAGAACAAAAATAATAAACAGCATGTTTTACCACCAATATCTGTTGTCTCTGGGCCACAGTCTTATATCAAGGTCTGGATGTGAGTACTTCATTTAACCGCGTTGTATAATGAAATATGTGTTTGTCAGTATTATTAATTTAACGTAATTTTATTTAGGACACCTTGTGTAATATGTTCTTGCATTGAGACTTTAATAGTAATTAATATCTAAGTTTTAGATAATAAGAATCATTGCCTCTACCTTTATGGACTGTGCACTCTAATCGTAAGGTAGTTGACACATCTTTCTTACAGTTCTTCCAATGTCATTTTGACTGTGACGTAATTAAATAACTTTATATGAACATAAATTTTTTGAGTTCAATCATTCTATACTTATTCAAAATGAATTATTTTTGTTTGATTGATTGTATAAAAATTGTAAATTGGATTAAAAGAAGTTACTTAGATTTAAAACTTTTTGGTAAAGTTATATTTAAAAAATATTAATTGAAAAAAAAATTAAAGGTTAAACTAAAAGTTAGGATTGTTATGACGTAATTTTACTTAAAAAGTTTATAATCTACAAATATCCAAGTGAGTGATATCAATCATTTTTACATGACAAAAATTTCGAGTTATTACCTCTATAATCCCAAATTAAAATAAACATAGTATAGTAATACGTGTTATAGCTAGTAAATATGATAATATTAAAATTAAGTGCCAACAACTTAAATGTTAAATTGTTACGTTGAATTTAAGGACAAGTTTTTACAAACACAACTGAGCACGCTTCTGGGGATCAAACTTCGTCCACTCCATCATAGATGGCTCTCTTCAATGCCGATCATGCGCAGTTAGCTGAGAGAACACATCTTGCCAATGTTGCCTTTTTTGTTTGTAAATTCTTGAAGAATAAGATTTAAGGCTTGTACAATCAAGTGTTTCGAAAAAGCGAAATGCGAATTTGGGATTGTGAGGCAATAATCAAGTAAACGTTCCTCCAATACTCTATTATATAGAATCACTCATCTTGAAGCATTGTATGTGTTAAAAATATTGTATTAATAAACAAAAAATAGACTTTTCTATTTAAATCTAATTAGATTAAATCGAGTAAGAATCTCCTATAGTATTTTAATTTATATTTACCTAATCAGAAATATGTTGTTACAATTTTGTTATTATTTGGGGTTGTAAAATACATACTTACTTAAATTTAAAGGAAATGCAGGGTAAAAGTAAAGTATACCTTTAATCTACCTTAAAACAAAAAAGGTGTATTTTATGATCCCAAATAAATTGAAGACGCTTTTTATGACTACTTTTAAGAATTACTTACGTATTATTTTGTTGCTGTGTTTAGTTAGGTTTTTTATTGTAATAATTTTTAATTAATTATTTTATTTATTAAGAATCCAAATTTTATCCAAGTTTTTCTTAGATATAACATTTAAAATTTTATCCGAATTCTTTGCCAACATATTCCATATTTTGGTGTTTTTGGGAAATTTTTTATAGAGAATATAATCTCTAAAAAATCACTAATTTTCCACAAAACACTTTAATTTAATTGCATGCCGACATTCTAGTCATTTTTACCATAATTACTATATCTAGCCTCAATTAAACAATATCTGGTCTAAATGATATTTTTTATAAAATCTGTTTTATTGTTAGCATCTGAATTATATTATTCTTATTGTTGTAATCATATTATTCATGTACTGTGCAATAAAAATTGTACAACTGTATTATTGTTTAGTTCTTTTAACCAAGTCTATTAACTTTTATAAAGAATTCATCTTTCTCAAAAAATAAAAAATGTTTTCTCCTAATGCCTAATCGCAAAGCACCATTTTTTTTAGCATCCTAAGGTATATTATAGTATTACATCCACGTGACATCTGGGTTGCCTACATTCAGACAGGCTACTTTTTTTTAATAAAACACATTATTACTTGAAAAAGTTTAATCAAATTCTTTTATATGGTAATAAATAAAAACAAAATTATCATATTAATAAAGTATCACTATAAGGCACTGTAATCCTAACTACTTATAAAAATATATACACTGGTACTTGGCGCGTTAAGTGAATAAAACTAAATTCATTCATAAACGCCCTAATATAAAAATTACACGCTGATTTTCCTTTTTGTTCCCTGAATCCGTGACTTCATCACGAGTAGGTAGAATCAGCATATAAAATAGTTTTTTTTTAATAAGACACTATTTTTTAAGACGTGCATTCATGTTTGTGTTGTGACAACAGGAGGCTCTTCGTTTTTGTTCTTGTTGTTCACTTGTTCGGCGGGTTTGTCCCATTTCTGCCTGACGCCAGAACCGAAGAAAATGTAAATCGTACAACAAACTGCATAGACTGCAGCAGCTGTTATAAACACCACCCTCCATTTGGCGATGGTTGGCTGGAAAAAAGTCAAGTTAGAAACACCAATGTATTTTATTTCTTCAAAGGCATGTAGAGTGCGGATATCATGGTACCATGTACCATATACCATGACGGATATATAGGATACTTACTCCTCCCTTGACCATGTAACCAGCGTATATGGGGGCCAAAAGCCCGGCCAGGTTGGCCAGGCAATTGGTGATGGACATCAGGATGCCCGCGTATTGCGGCGAGATGTCCAAATGGTTGACCTTGAAGCCCGAGTAGATGCCGCCGTTCAGGCCGACGCCAATCGTGACCAGAGCCACAGTCAACCACCTATCACAGCCTGTGAAAGATGCGGCCACCAATGCGATGGCTGGACCGTATTGACCTACAAGCAAGCATTTTAGTTGAAGCAACCCATGGACGAAGCAAGAAATAAGGAAAGGAAGAACGAGAATCTAGTAGGAGGTGGTCTTGATACAAACAAATATCAGGGCAGATAAGACCTTGTTTTGGAAAATCTGCGGTTACTTACCAATTCCGTTAATAATTTTTCTAACAACCGTATGAGTAAAATAAGGTTTTGTTAACATCCAATCGGCCACATGACTTATGAAAATTGAGAAAATCCACATGGCTAGATACGGAAGGGCGGATAAAATTCCGTTCTGCAAATAAAAAAAATATCTATAAATGTTTTGCTGGCGTACTTAAGAACTCACAACCGTCAGAAAAATGTGGCCACAATATTCAATTTAAAATCATCGGAAAAAAAGCTATTCTATATTAAAAATTAATCATCTCAGACCAAGTATGTACGAGGTGTGTTCAGAAAATATCGGGAATCGCCTTCAAAATATTGGATATTATGCACATGTGCCAGCTCTTCTTCCAATATTCGAAACACTTCTAAAACTCAATCTTTGGGATAGCCTTTAGTTCTTTCAGCGATTTAATGTCATATATGCTTGCAAAACGACGGCCCTTTAAGGTTCTCTTTATTTTTGGGAATAGGAAAAAGTCAGACTTGGATGGAGGCTGGGGCATCATTACAGTATTGTTTTTGGCCAAAAATGTTGTTCAAAATTTAAAAATTTTGGAACAAATTTTGCTGCCACGCGTTTCATACCCAAAACATTCGAAATAATTTCATGGGATGAGCCAATCGATATACCAACATCATCAGCGACTTCTCTGATGGTTTATAACCATTTCTTCCACTTTTTCCATGTTTTTATCGGCTGTTAATGTGCTTGTGCGTTCGGGGCGTTCGTCATCTTCAACGTCTTCACGGCCATCTTGGAAACTCTTATACCACTTGTAAACTCTTGTTTTACTTATAGCAGACTCACTATAAGCCTTTGTTAACATTTCACAGAATTTATTTAATTTTTTAAGCAAAAGTGGATACAAATTCTTTGATCCATTTCTTTTAACGAACGAAAATCGCCGAGCTCATAGAACACGTCTAACCTTAGCGGCTGCCACAGACAAAGTAAACAATGAAAACAGCTGAAGTTTTTATCATACTTCGGGGGCATGTATACCAACATAATAAAGAAAATTTTATGACAACCGGACCCTCCGAACCCGAGAAATTAAACAATTCCCGTTATTTTCTGAACACACCTCGTATATGTTTATCTTACCATTCCGCAAGTATACTTTCAATAAAAACTATCATATTATTTTAAATGCAAGCACACTCAAATAAAATATACAATATGCTTAATTTAAAGCAAAATCAAGGCTACTTCCCAAATAAGTCCAGTCTTCACAAAAAATGAATTTGAGCAATGTATTTCCAATGCTCCTGATAAAGAAGTGTACTTACATTATTGTTACATAAATTATAATATTTTAAACTCTTAAGAAAGATACTTCACTGAACGCTGAACTAAAAGTTTTTACATCTAGTAGTAAATTATAAAAGATTTTATTGAACGAAGATTTTTTTTAATAAAAAAATGTTAAATGTCAACCTTCTGTTATGGAAATTCATACAATAGGTCCTGAGCCAAAATATGTAGCTCAATTTTTGAAATTGGAAGGACAACATTCCATGGAAAATGGGACTTCTATTATCTTTAATTTTGAAGGTGCGACAATAAATAATTGTTTTTTTATATAATAATTGGAAATAAGATTACAATTGGCTAGTCAAATAATAATTTAGTCCATCCAAACATTTTACGTCTTACCCTTTTCGATAAGATTAAATGTTCGAATGACTCAGCGCCTGCTTTTGTTATCGATGTAAAAAACAAAACGCGGTTTGTTCACCTGCCAAGATTTTTGCAATCACGCCGAATCTAGTCAGCGATTTTTTGCACACTTACGTCAAAGAGTCGGAGCAGAAATTTAACAAATGTTATGTTTTGTTTTACAACCCGATATTTATTTACTTCGATTAATGTTTACTGTTTTGCTTCGCATGCCGACGCAACGATTTTGATAAATTAGCATTTTATCGGTCGGTCCCAATAAATACGCCGTTATCGAATTGGATTTTCCACTTATTTACTCGACTAAACATCAACAAGGAAACTTACGATCGGTTGCAACAATGTTTTTAAATTTTGAGAAAAGCAACAATTTGCTCTAATTCAATTCAATCAAACGCCCTGTGTATTAGCAATTGTCTTACGTAATAAAAACCTTGACCCACATCACATCACAAAAAAATACGAATGTGCAAATAAATACGATAATAAAGTAATTTAATTGCTGATTTAGTTTTTTAATTACCAACCACAAACTTATGGTATAACAATAAAACCGTTGTAGTGGTTACGAAAAAAAAACAAAAAGTAGACTTACATCTTTAATACTGAAGTGCAGGACTTGTTTCATGTAGGTAGGCAACTCGGTCATCAGGGTTTCGTACCCGTAATTGTGACCCATGTGGGCCAAGAGGATAGCCCAGAATGGAAGGGACTTGAAGATGGACTTCCAAGGGATTGGTGGTATCTAAAAAAAATCCTAATTGTGAACTGGACTTCTTTCTTGAGTTGTTGAATAGTCTTAGGATAATTCACAACAATTTGTTCAAAAAAACCCGAAGAAAGAAGTCAGAAGTTCTATGTGAACCCCCCTTAGACTGAATTCAGATTTCTTCGAAAGAAAAAAAGCAGTGGCTTACGTCTTGCCCCACAATGGCTCCTAGCGCGTTCTGGATGTACTTCCTTTCGTCCATGGTGATCTTTTTGCTGGACTCTGGGTCCTCGCTGACCAAAAATAGGAAAGCCACGCACCATACGGTACCGACGGCCCCAAAAACGTAGAAAATCGAAGGCCAGCCTCCAGTGGAGACGCTGAGAAGTCCGCTCAACGGCATGGAAATAACCGTACCGAATTGGGCTCCTATAAGCAAACAAATGTACTTTGAAGACGCGTTTTCGTTGATTCCTTAAGATTTTTTGCTTTGTCGGTTTAATCTTGAAAAACCAACGCGTTATGAATTTATTATAAGTGTGTATACAACATTGAATCAAAGGATTAATTGTTTGAAATAGAGGAAACATCTGTTTACACTTTCAATGGTATTTTCTGTTAATAAACACTTGTGCAATTAAACAAACAATTAAAAGAAACAGTTTCGTCACCCTTATCTTATGCTATATTTAAATATTTTTTTTACTGTTAATAGGGGTAATCAAATTAATATGAATAACGGTAACAATAAATTCCTTAAACAATTTGACTACCCCAACAAAATCCCTATAGCAAAAACCATCCACACTCACTAGAGACTAAATACTACATATTCACAACCAACTACACACCACTTCTCATATAAAAATGAAACACTTGTGATATATATATAATAATAATAATAATAATAATAGTAACAAATAAATGATTTAAATTTTCGGAATGGCAGAAAAATAATACCTGCGTAAACGAAAGCACCCAATCTGCTTCTCTCGTTAGGGGGAATCCATTTTGCCAGTAGTGCGTGTGTACATGGGACAATAGGGCCCTGACCAGAAAGGTACAATTGAAAACCTATGCAAGGTACTGAAGCGAGAAACAAAAACTGCATTTTTGTCGTAGGTATTTAATTCAACCAAAACTTGCCCTGTATATTTTTGACGTTTTTATGTGACGAGTGAATTGCTGACTTCAAAGCAGATTTCGCGTCGGTTTGCTTAAATTTCACGTAAATGTTATTATTTTTTAGCAAGATTGACAACGGAAAAAAATTAATATCCCTAAATATATCAACTGGACTCTTTCCACAGTAAAAACGACAAAGTAATATACAGTAGCAAAACGAATCCAAAAACGATTAGTACAGTCAAAGGGTAAGAAAATTGTAACGTTTTTGTACTTTAAGGGTGAGTAGTAGGGTGTTTCATTTAAAACGACTTTTTTTTGTTTTTCACCGAAACTCCAAAATATTGTTAAAAACATCGAAAAAAAACCTCATAGTTTAAGCCCTTCATTTTGATTCAAGTGCACAGATATGAGCAGTTTAATATTTAAAAATTTGAAAAATTTGTGTTTTCTTGAGATTATTTCCCTCATTATAATATAAACCAATCAAAAGCCTTGAATTTTCAAATAAATTTCGTTTAATTAAGCGATTAAATCACTAGAACTATTTAACAGCGATTAAATTTTAGCCTCCATATTGGATTTTTGTTTACGATTTTATGGTGTTATTTACAAGTTTTAACAAACATTTTTTAAAAAACAATAAAAAATAAGTTATCTAGTTTACGAAATATCAATTATTACTTATTACATACCTTAATTTAATGGAATTTTCTTTAAAAAAATATTTATAAATTTTGACACATACGTCAGATTTTATGAATTGTCAAATAGTTTCCTTTAATTCGAGAAATAATCTAGACGTATATCACTCAACCTATAAATTTAATCTGTCAAACTATGCTCAGTAAGGTTTTTATTTGATTTTTCTTTTTGGAAAATAGTTTCATGCAAAATAATTAAAAATAAAACCCATTCAACATTTTCCAACAAAAACCAAACAAAAAACTACTGAGCCTAGTTTAACCGATTAAATTCATAGTTCTCGTGATATAATATATGAGAATTAAATTTTCTACAACTTTTTTCTTTAAAATTTTTCGGTAAAACAAGCCATTCTCTTAATATTTTTAAAAATATGTAAAAATCAAGTTTAATGAAGTTGGAGAAAAATTCTTAAATCCTCTTAAAAAGCGTTAAATACTCTGTAAGTAACAATGAACAACAATTTGAAACCCGGCAAATATACCTATATGTAATTAAAAAAAAGTAAATGAAAATACATGCTTTTAAAATGGGAAAAATTCAAAATGAAAAAGGAAGTACTTAGAATCGAAATTAGGGATTTTTTTCTCGATGTTTTGAACAATATATAAAAGTTTCGGTGAAAAACAAAAAATAGTCGTTTTAAATGAACCCTCAAAGTATGAAATCGTGAATTTAACGCAAAAAAAAATGTACCTTTCGACTCGTCTAAATGGGATTATTTCTTATAAGACAATATGTCGTGTTAAGAAAATCCATGGTATTTTTTAGCATGTCATGGTAACCACGTCAAAAAAGCAAAATATAAATTTCCTTTAAACACGACATATCGCGTTTTTCTCCGAAAAAAAATCGACAAAAATGTGTTGTCTCGCCTCGTACTGACTCGTCTTGTAAGTGCAGGATACTCACCTCGCCGAGTCCTTGGATAAACCTGACCGCGGCCAGCCAGTAGATGCCCCATTGCGCGGAAAGCGGCACCAGAAGACCGAAGACCGAGTTGATCAGCATCCCGATGCCCAAAAAGTAGATGTTGCCGTACTTCTTAGCCAGGATGCCGAACGGGATCTGCGTGATGACGTAGCCGTAGAAGAAGGAACTCAAAACGTAGCCCTGGACGTCAGTGTCCCAGTCAAACTCACCGTCTGGCTCGGAATAGTTCTGAGAATGAAAGAAGTTTCATAGGAAAAAATCCCAGTCGAGACAAATCGCAACTTGAGATGGGTTAATTTTGAGTAAGTAATTAAGGTTATGTTTTCAAGTTTTTTAAAAAATAATTCAATTATTATACAATTTCTTACTTTTCAAAATATGTTACTCCCCCGTTTTTTTAAGTATTATAAGTTTACATTTGTAGTTCTACTATTGTACTTATTTTTTTGTTCATTGTTACAGATTTTCATCCCATTGCATGAAGTTGCAGTTAAAAAAAAGAACTGCCTTTTTCTAGGTAAATATATACATATATATATATATATATACAGGGTGTCCCAAAAGTCAAAGATATCCTCTGAAGGACTAATAGGTCAGCTCATGACTAATTAGAATATCAAAACATGACCTTAGTAAAAAATGATTAGTTTTTAAGATATTTTTATGAATTTTGTGAAACTTAACACAACAACAACATTCTATATTTTTAGATTATATTTTATTTTGCGTAACCCTGAATAGGACTGCTATTAATTACAATTCAAAATTAAATTTATGGTAGCTGTGGCACTCAAAAAAGTTATCAAAAGTTTTACAAAATTCATAAAAATGACTATATCTCAAAAAGTAACGATTTTTTACTAAGGTCATATTTTGATTTTCTGCTTAGTCATGAGTTGGTCTATCAGTCCTCCAAAGGATATCGTTGACTTTTGGGACACACTGTATATTAGGGTGTTCGTTAAAAATAATTTTTTTTTGCGACGACCCCTTCTTGTTAATGAAAAAACGATCTAAGTTAATTTTTTGGTATAATCATGTTTTTTTGGAAATTTTTTATGAAAAATAAAATTTTATTCAAAATATAAACAATTATAGAACCCAAATCTATAAAAAAACAATAGTTAATCGGAATAACAATAGACAAAAATTTAAATTCAAAATGTTTCCCAGTTTGGTCTATTAAATAAAAAAATGAAAGATATTTAAATTGATATTTTTATTTTAAAACTAAATAGTACGAACGTAATTTTAATATCTAGATTTCTCCACTTCAAGGTGAAGTTATTTAATTGTTAATAATTTTTAAATCTCAAAAAAATTATTATTCCATATTTTCAGAAGAGACATGATTTTACCAAAAAATTAACTTAGACCGTCTTGAGGCCAGTGTTTTTTCACCAAAACGAAAAAATTTCATTTTTAACGACTACCCTAATATATATTATAATTATACTTTTATAGGTATTTTGATTGCGTTTTTTAGATAAACCAAACCCATTCAAAGAAAATTGATTACCCATTAAAATTGTGGATAACAATGACTTCGTTAGATAATTCTGTGAATAGTAACACTTAAGTGTATTAAATTACACCTAATAACATTTTTTAAATTGGGCTAGGTTTAAATTCAATTAACAATTGAAATTTCACTCAAACTGTTTGTTTTTGAATGGTACCCATTTATAATATTTTAAAATAGTTGATTTTACTTATGAATGCGTTATAGAAGCGCTTATCACACGCAGGTGTGATGTTTACAAAGTAAATATAATAATAATGTATGATTAGAATGTTTTATCTAAATTAAGTGGATCATTAGGTAAATATTAAAATACCAAAATTAAGTTTAAAATCATTTTCACAAGAATATTTTAATCTGTAAAATTATTTTTCCATTTTGTGTTTAAAATACCTCAAAAATTACCTCAAAAGATCGTAAGATTTTAATTTGAATAGGTCAAAATTTTTCCCGTCTTGCTACTTACTCTAGAAACTTCCACAATCCCGCACTCCAAATCTATGGCATTAGATTCCGTGGATGCGTTATGACGAGCCGCCACTGCTGTATGGTTCACCATAGCGACTATGGCTACCGACATATTGGTTCTCATGATATAGGCGTTGGCCATACCAAGGAACAGCATGAAAGTAACGAAATGCCTGGTACCAAAGAGACCTGAAAAAAAAGAAAAACCTTAATTAGACATGCTGAAATATTTTATTGAGGAACAACTTTTGAAACCGCATTACTTCCTTCAAAATAAGTGTTTTTTGACTGAATCATTTAGCTCAAGATAAAGTTACTCATGAAGTGTACTTTTACCATAGATTAATAACCCCTACAGTTTTACCTACACAATAAAAAGTCAAAAATCAATCTACAAGCATAAATGGTAAATTAAAATCCAGAATTAGCAGTTTTTATTAAGCAACAAGTTGTATTGAGTTTCAATAAAGGTTAGGTTTTGAAAATACCGGTAAGTTTTCTTTAGTTAAATATTTCTGTATTGTTTTAAATGAATCCTGCTCATAACATTATTCTCTTAATAATTGAAACGCATTTTTTAAGAAGAAAGGAAACTGAAAAAATACAGATATTGGGCAGTCATCCAACGCAAAAAATTTCATCAGTATTTGACGATAAGAGGCAGGGTAAGCAATATTCACGAACTTTTCAAATATCTTGGTACGAAACCTATGATTGACTATGCGGAAGTATTTATAAACAAAGCTTATTCTGTTGGCATTGTATTTTATTAGGCCGCGTCAAAAACAATTTCCAATTGCTCTGATATTTTATTTGTTTTTTTTATGTATATATATTTTTATCCATCCATATAAATATATTTTTAAGTTCGAGATATATATTAGGGTGGGCCGATTTTAATATTTTTCAAATATCAAATTGTGCAATGGTGGAAAAGTTGTGCATTTATAAGGCCAGAAAAATATTATAAGAGTTTTTTTTTTTAATTTTAATTTCTTAAACTGCCGCAAGGCCTTGAAAGATCTTAATGTAATTTAGTATCGTTATAAATACGAAAAAAATTATCTGAGAGAAAATAGGGTTAAAAAAAGTTTTGAATGATAAATATTTATTAAAAAAAAACAAAAATAAAAATGAATCATCAACACAAATTTAATTCAATTTATAATCCTGTTTTACCTGCCATTTTTCACAAACACCCAAAAACCACAAACAGATACTACTTGTAAAAATTTCTATTATTCAACTAATTGACGATGTCAAAATATTATAATTTATATAAACAGTGAAGCCAACTGTCAACTGTCCTACGTCAAACACGAAAATCTTAAAAAATATTTATTCTCCATTTTACGCCGTCTCTCCAATAATTGCAATTATTGCAAAATTTACAGTTTGACTTCATACAGTTCAAAACATTAAAAAAGAAAAAAAATATTAAAGGAAAATAGTTTACTTTCCTATTTCACAACTTTCCCGCTTATGAATAATTTTAATTTTTTAAAAATTACTTTTAAATTTTTAGAGGCGTTGCGGCAGTTCAAAACATATAGATATGAAAAAAAATATTTTGCAAAAAATGTTTACTTTCCTATTTCACAACTTTTTCTTAAATGCAGAATTTAATATTTTTAAATTTTAGAAGTTAAATATAAAATCGGCCCACCCATATATTTTAAAGTTTTAAAAAACAAATTTAGGTTTCTGAATTTTGATTAAGATTGCTTTGATATTTTCTTTTTTTTTTAGTTCATTTTTTTCACCCTCCTATACACGCACGAGCCGACACTGGTTCAACGGGTTTTGTTTTATTGAAAACAATATTGTCTGGATTAATTACAAACAATTAAAATGTCCTTGTTAAATAAGTCAACATAAAAAATGGGTTTCGGATATCCTTTAATCCATAGCGTGACTTTTTTTGTTTTGTTCGGATTTGACATGATGCTGTTGTTAAAAAATTTGAATGAAGGATGACAAGGTGCATTGTTTACTCATTTAAATTTAAATATTAGACCACCAAAGACATGATTGCAATTTTACGTATTTTTACCAATAAAATTTAAATAATTAAATACTTTAATTACTTAAATTATAATGTAATATTTTAATTCTAAAATAAACATCCAAAGTAGGTACTTAAGTTTCATTTTGGAATGTATTCTACTTATAAATATATTTGCAAAATATTTAAAACATAAACAAAATTTGTTTACACAAAATATCTTTGAACTCGTAGGATTTACGTATAAACTTTCATGGTTTAATTTAAGCATTGTTAGTCACTTTTTGTTTATTAATTGACAAAATTATAAAAAACATAAATATAAAACATCAATTTGACGACACAATTAAAGAACATTTATTTTTATTTTATTTGTGATTATTTGGTAAAAATATATTCATACCGAATTATCTGAGGACAATTTGAAAATAGTTTTTATAAAAAAATGTGTTTATTTTTTTAATATCAATTATTAAAACCATAAACATCGATTGAGACCATAAAATAAAATTTAATGGCTATTTCTCAGATTTGCTGTTTGCTTATCGCATTTTTACAGAATAGCCCGGTTTAAAGCACGTGCTAGGTACCTGTGCCCAACTCTGTCATACATACATACTTTACGACGTTGTTAAAATCATGCCAACGTTGCCACACTCCACCAACGTTAATATACAATGTTGGAGAACTTTTATGTTCGAATAATGCACATTTCGGGTATTTCTTCGTGGACGTGGCAACGTTGCAAGGCCGGTCGGCCAATGGGAGCGCTCGCTTTTGAATCGGGCGCCAGTTCCGGCGGTGTCTCGATTTCCTGACCGGCGTTAACTGCACGTGGTCTGGCGATTGCGGCTAGACGCAATAACGACGAAGGAAATGGCGAATTTTGGACTTACCCTCTTTTTTCGCGTGAGGAATGTTGCCGTTTTCGTGGTCCAGCACTTGGGAGTACCTGGTGTGATGAAGGGCGCCGTTTTTCGCGTTTCCGTTCATATTTTCTGCGGTCGATTATTTTTAGAATAAACTGCTGACGTAGAATAAATTATTATCGATATAAAACTTTTATGAAAGGTCCTTCATAATTATCGTTAATTTAAATAAAAATTATATAAACTCTATGCTATGTACACGAAACAAAATTGTTAACAAATAAATAAATAAGTTGTACTGTAGGCGCGAAACAATAAATTAAGTAAAGAATTAGGAACTAAAGCGATTTTCTTCGAATCTCACACCAACTTCAGTCTTTTCCTTTTTCTTGACCAGACGAGGGTATATAGATTGTATAGTAATAACTTCAAAAAATATTTCATAATCGACCATTCATAGTATTGTGTCTCTTTTTAAATAATAAAATGTCCACTGAAACTGTTTAGTTTTAGCACTACTTTACGACACTGTCACCGATAAAACTGAGAAATTTTCTAACACGCAGACTTCAGATGTTGAATTTTTGTCACTTTGCTATGTGATACTGAAGCAAATGAATATATATAGCTTTAAACGTCCCCTCTGCTGCTACCGATAAGAACCAGGACCGTACTCAGGACGCACAGTAAACACGATCGATATTTTTTTTACTTGATTCTCGCTTCTTTATGGCAAATGGTGCTGTTCATCAAAAATCCAAGATGACGGATACAAAAAAGCTTTATATTGATGAATAAATAAAAAACAATATTTTTTTACATAATATTTTTTTTAGATAAGCAAAAAACGATATGCTAATGCGCATGTTATAGCTATTTACTCCTCTTTTGTAAAAACTATCTATCAGAACTGTCATTAAACTGTCAAATGTCAATTTTAAGGTTAATTTGTAGGTATGGTAAATTTGTAGGTTATATATTCACCTTAAAATTGACTTTTGACAGTTTGATGACAGCCCTGATAGAATAAGCCCAATAAACAATTTGTATTACTTATGGTAACGATAAATTATATAAAGGTTATATAAGAGTTGTCAAATTATATAAGAGTTTAACAAGGTTTTATAAAATCGCAATTTAGTTTACTAGTTTTATAATGATCATATAAGGTTACTGTAAAATCTAGGTATATAATTATATAATCTTTAGTAACCGTTACCATGAGAGAAATTTTAAAAGAAGGAAAAAAGCCGGTAGTAGTTCTTTAGGAAGTTATATACTGGTTCCTATAAAATTCCTGTTATCCCTAGTTATAAAACTTGGGTTTTATAGTGTTACTAGTCCCCAAATAAGCTATTTAAGGGGTATATAAGAGTGATATAAATATTTCTGTAACCAAATTAAGAAATATAGGTTTTATAATTTGGATTATATAACATTTATAAAAACCACTATAAAACAAAAATGTTTATTGGGAGGTTTAAGGCGCATTCATGCTCACTAAAATAAGAAATAAGAAATAATAATAAGAAATAAGAAATAAGATAAAATAAAAGTTAAAACTGTGTAAAGTAATGGTTGCGTTCATGCTCATGAAAATAAGGAATAAGAAATAAGAAATAAGAATAAAGATTAACAAATTTTAACTTTGGTTCTTATTCTTGCGTATAAAACTGCGCAAAGAACCAAAATGGGTCTGTGAATTATTTTGATGGGTTTTATGTGCTGGCCATGGAGCCATGGTGTTGGAAATCGCGTTGAGTGTCGCTGTCGATTGTTTACGTTTATAGCCAATATAATCCACTATAATAAAATATAATTGTGTGACAACATTTTTTATTTCTTATGTTATCAGCATGAACGATCAATCGCGGTCTTATTTCTTATTTCTTATTCCTTATTTCTTATTTCTTATTCTTATTTCTTATTTCTTATTTTAAGTGAGCATGAATACGCCTTTAGTGTTTACAAAAGAGGAGTAAAATGGTTGTCCTTAGCCAAATTTGGACGTTTAAAATGGTTTGTAATCTGTATAAGAATAATTATTGTAAGGAACATAAAAATGGCCGCCGTTAAAGTATGCGCAGTGGGTTGTCTAACTTACAGGGTCATTACACCAAATTTTTCAGTAAACTTTCACTTTAGTACAGAACAAATTTGCTGCATAAAAAATCATTAATTATTTATTTGTCGGGCAGCATGTTGCTAAAAAGGTGCATACTATATATTATCTAAGACGAACAAAAATTAAGCCAATTTTAGTTTGACATCTGACAAACACTTTATAATAAAGCTAACTTCAGCCCGTAACTAAAACGCCAAAGATTGGCAACGTAGGAGTTGATAAAAATGGTTAAAACCTCGAAAAAACATTTTTTTTATATTTCGATTCCTTTTTTTTTAATTTTACTTTTTTAATATATAATTATTGTAAAATTTTACACTTTAAAAATAAAATAATGTACTTACTTCGTACCCGAAATTCGATTCTTCTAAATAATGTAACCATAATTTTTGCATTGGAATAAAAACAATTTTCTATTTATTGACACAAATTCGAAAAAATAACCATATTTTATTAAAAATTGACAAAATTGACAGCTTATATTAAACTTTTACTTATTTTTACTGCGTTCAAAAATATTACCTTCAGTAGGTACCTACGTTAAAGACAAAGTTGAGTATAACAGCTGAATGAACTGATATGATAAAAAACATACATAATTCACTAAGTGGTTATCTGCTGACTTATTAGGCAACTGACCCACGATAAAAAGAAGAAAAAACTCGTATTAAACGAATGTCCTCATTATTCTCGGGAGGCTGTTCAATGGGCAGTAGGGTGGGCCGAAAATCCGCTTTTTTAGAATTTCGTTTAGTAATAGCAAACATTTTGTTCATTATGTTGTAAAAAGATTTTGTGTAAAAGATTAAAATTTTCGATCAACATCCTAGGCTCGCCCAACGCAATTTAAGATCAAAATGTTTAAAAAAAATTTGATACTAAAATCGGGTTTATTTCTGAAACTATCCATCTGAAGTAATTTTGTGTAAGGACCTCTTTTGTAGAGCATAAAATTTCCGATCGAAATAAGTTAAGAAATTTTTTTTTTTAACATTTTGATCTTTAATTGCGTTGGGCGAGCCTAGGATGTTGATCGAAAATTTTAATCTTCTGCACAAAATTTTTTTACAACATAATGAACAAATTTCTAAAACTATCCATCTGAAGTAATTTTGTGTAAGGACCTTTTTTGTAGAGCATAAAATTTCCGAAGAAATAAGTTAAGAAAAAATTTCTTTGAACATTTTGATCTTTAATTGCGTTGGGCGAGCCTAGGATGTTGATCAAAAATTTTAATCTTTTACACAAAATCTTTTTACAACATAATGAACAAAATTTTTGCTATTACTAAACGAAATTCTAAAAAAGCGGATTTTCGGCCCACCCTAATGGGCAGGTACCTATAGAATTTAACAATACCAAGAAATGCGCATAAGCAGGGTGGCATAATCTAGTCTCGAGGCCTTTGAAAAAATTTCAACAATTTTTATCTTAAAACGTGAATGAAGCCTAAAAGTAACCTTGGTGTTGACTTAGTGATATGTGATCAGGAAAAGTTTGTTCGAGGCGATATTTTATTCAACAATTAAATAATGTTTCATTCAAATTTTAACACTATGATATGATTTTATAAGTATTCTTTCGAAATATATATCTTTATATATACCTATCGGATTTATGTGTTAAAATGAACCTACATACCGAGAAAAAAATTTCCCTGCAAGGCAAAATTTTTTGCTCAATTTTAAAAGGTGTCGGTGAGCATTCTAAGTTTTCCATTGAAATAACACGTAAAAAAATCTTTTTTTATTAAAAAGACTATAACTTTTGAACCGTTTGAGATAAAATTTTTTACGTCGCAGATTCTTGTAGAGCATAACATTTCCCAAAGAATCTATACCAGGATTATTTTTTTAATTCAAAAATTCGTATGTTTGAAAGCTTTGAAAAGTGTAAAAAATCACTAAAACTGCAGTTACGGTTCAAAAGTTATAGTCTTTTTAATAAAAAAAGATTTTTTTACGTGTTATTTCAATGGAAAACTTAGAATGCTCACCGACACCTTTTAAAATTGAGCAAAAAATTTTGCCTTGCAGGGAAATTTTTTGCTCGGTATGTAGGTTCATTTTAACCCATAAATCCGACAGGTTAGTTTTTTTGGCTCACCCTAATATATATATATAATATATATATATATGTATATATAACAAAAAAATTTGAAATAATTTTTTTAAATTAACTGACAAATTACTAATATATTTTTTTACTCCCACCTTTAAAACGTTATCGTACATGTTTTCATGACAAATGATAAATTAAATTGGCAACATTATATTATGTGTTATAAATAAGTAAGATTGCCCTAAAAATTAAATTTTCTGGAAAAAAGTTTTAAAAATTAAATAAATAAATAAAATCCCAAGAAAAACCTAAGATAAAACCTATTATATTAATGTTGGCAAAATGTATTATTAATTAATATAAACCTGACAATTACTTATATTACGAATTAAAAGATTAAAAAATCATGCCATGTAATTGCCCTTTACACTACAATTTAATCCGAACCTATCAATCATTTATAAAATTAATATGGTTTACATGCTAATACTACAGAATCTAGAAAACCCAGCTTAATTTTTACTACGTCATTCCGTTTTTCAAAAGCACCAATTTTTTTGTTTTTTTCATCGATAAGGTTAAATAAATTATGGATGTTATTAGATTGATGTTTATATTTGAAATGAAACCTCAACCAGTTATTATTTTGTCTGTCAATTATTAGTAATGATTACTAAAGCATGCCCATAAGTGACAATTAAAATTACTACAATTACACAGGTTGACGATTTAATTGAATCGAATTTAAACAAATGCACTAATTTCAAGGCTTTCTAATCCAGGTAATCCCGTAAAAAAATATAAATACATCAACAAACATACACAGGGTCTCCAAAAAATAACGTAAATATATTTCGGGAGGTAGTATATATTTAAATACAGTGTGTCCACGGATGGACTTAACTATGCTTGTAAAAATATTTATTTTCAATTTTTCGAGGAAATGTCATTTTTCATAATTTCTTTTGCTTGTTATATAAATTCAATTCGAGTTGAGAAACATCCATTTTGTTGTACAGGGTAAGCAAAAATACTGATTTTCAAAATTAAAAATTTTTAAATATTTTTTTTGAAGCGCTAATATAAAGAGATGGTGAAGAGAAATCAAAAAGTCAAATGAAGTTTCTTCATATGAGTTTTTGAGTTATTTGATATTGAAAATTTAAGATATTAGTTTTCAATTTTAACAAATAATTGTATTTTTAATATCTTAGTAACAACAACTCACATGAAAAATCTTTATTTCGCTTTTTGGTTTCTCCTTACAAGCTCTAAATATTAGACCTTCAAAACAAAATATTGAACAATTTTTAATTTTGCAAAATCTACAATTGTATTTTTTGGGCGGACCCTGTATAAGAAAATATAAGTTTCTCATCGTGAATGGTATTTATATAAGAAGCAGAAGAAATTATGAAAAGTGACTTTTATGTTTATAAAAAAACATTTTTTGAATTTAATTATATAAATAAAATTGCTAC